ATGTTATAACAAATAAAAAAGTTATATTTAAGCTATCTTCCGCTAGCTAGCCTCCCGCTAAAACTACCGCGCATCTTCATAGATACGTCACTGGATTCTCTCGGATTTCGTCGCGCATGCGCGTACAGCCTCTCCAATATCGGAACACTGGGTGGTATCGCCTGGTTTCCACTGGTTTCGATCATTCGAAAACTGTGTACGTAATTCTGTGTGCTGTAAATTCAAAAAACATAGTTTATCTTCGAAAATATTCAAGATGTCACAAGACGATTCAGCAAAGAAAATGCCGCCTTACATGAAAAAACTGCAGTGCTCGCGGGATTTGATGAATCTGAATATTCAGCAACTTTCGTCGTTCAAGCAGCACTTGGATCAGGAACTCGGAGTGTTTCAGGAATCTTTGCATGCTTTGAAAATTGCGCAGACCAAATATCAGGAGTCGGGTCAGTGTTTAGAGAAGATTACGCCGTCCGTGGAAGGTGAGCTATATTTTTGCTTTTTTTTTTTTTTTTTAATATACAGCTTTTCAGTACAGGTTAAGTGAACTACTTTTGTTAAGAGAGCCACAAATATATATATAAGTATATATTTAATAAGATACCTCTACACACTGTAAAATTGATAGTAAACGTTAGTAAATTGATGGTAAATGTTATTAAAAGCTGAGACAATACTGACAATAGCGTAATTGGTACTGTTTGTTTAGTGAAAGTTTTGTGAGAATCCAACATAACCTTACTTATTCTTTTATATCAAAATTATACTAGCAAACACACACAAGCCATACAAGTTGATAGAAAATTCAGTTCAGTTTTTAAGCATAACAGTATTAATATTAAAATATTCTGTAAACATGTTTCTATCTTTTCAGGCAAAGAGATACTTGTACCTTTGACAGGCTCAATGTACGTACCTGGAAAATTGGCAGATGCGAACAATGTGATAGTAGACATTGGCACCGGATATTATGCACAAAAGAGTACTGAGGATGCGAGAAATTACTTTAAAAGGAGAGTAGATTATGTCACAGAACAAATGGAGAAGATCCAGGAAGTTGGAATAGAAAGAAACAAGCTCAGAGAAGCAGCCATGGACATACTAGAGAAGAAACTTCAAGCTCACTGGGAAATGGCAAAGGTGGCGAGACACGGACAACATTAAATTTTTCAATGAGTAATGTATTATTTATTTTATTTATTTAATTCTGTTTAATTACAGGTGAAGCAAAGCGCCAGTTAAGGTCATTTTTGGTAGATGTTATTTTATATATGTTTCATTACGAAAAAACAATTTGTTACCATCTCCGCATATATTCTGATGATCTTCGTGGAAACCGATGGCTTTGAGATGTTACTTACAAATGCAAATGATACTCTATCATGTAATAGCAATAAGATGGTTTTATTTAGTTCAATCAAGGCGTACATGTTTTGTGATATCACCCTGTCGTAATTTTTATTTTATTTTGACTTCATCTATATAAGTAAATTAATACAATGAAATTTTGTACAGAAATACATGTGTCTATATACGTGTCAGTAAAATTAGGACATACTCCTCTCTAAGTGCGTTTTACTTAAACTAACAATCGCCTTTAAACAATAAGATCAAAGTACTAAAGATTATTAGCTAAGAAACTATATTTGTTATAATCGCTAAGTATCTAAGCTTTTCTCTGTGTGAACAAAAAAGGAATGCGAAAAAAGAGACATAAATATATATTAAAGACTTAAAGTAACGAAGGTGAGTCGTTTATTTTATATTTCTTTGAAATAAAATGTATAAACAATTTAACAATATTTCGCCTATAAATATATGACAGGACATTGTGTATTCGCTAGAATATTACACAGGAGGTATCAAAATCATTGTCAGAGGATAGAAAAAGATGGTACAATATTTTCTTTCTTTTTTTTTTTTTTTTTTCGTCAAATAAGACATCGGGCAGTTTTGACCGGGCAGTTATCGTCGATCTATTATAATAATATGACATGTTATTCTTATCGGATTACAAATTCGTTCTTGCGGGTGAAAGAACGAACGCATAGATCACGTACACATAGATAATTCACTAAATTTTTTTATCCTATTTACACGAATAACATACGCTCTGTATTTTTTTTTTTTTTTTATCGTCAACAGAAAATTTCTCCTTTTTCCAGATTTTATCCCACTTAATGATTTTCAAAGTTTACAAATTATTTATCTTCCCTCGCCTTTTCATCGATACAATCGTGCGCATAAAACGTGTTACGAGCTCATTGATGTTATCTCAGGCTGCACAGCAACAGTATGGTCACGGCAGCGACGTAGAAATACTCTGCACTGCTCTTGGAAGCGGCACCTGGAACAAACCGGTGTGTCGAACAATTTATTCGTCAGTTCCGATCGTATTTTAAAAACAAAAAGCTATAAAGTTTACTGATACGTAACATAAGATGACAGTAGTACATCACATTTGCTTCATAAATTTATATAAAAGAAATTTAATACAACTAGAAAATCCATATCTACTTTGTAAAACTACTTGTAACTAAAAAAATTATATTTACTTTGTAAAATTTTTATTTAACGTTTTTTAATTAAATTTGAAACAAGTGATTTGCTGCTGTAACGCATTTACGTTGATGAGAAATAAAGTACCAATGTAGGAGGATTCCCGTGTTCCAAGTACGGAAGCCAGTCTTGGACGTTCTTCCTTTAGAATCACCTCGTCCTTCTTCTGATAGAGGTGAAAGACATAGGCATTACAAACGATGTGCAGTCTGCCGTTGCTAAAGTTGTCCTGCATCGTTTCAAAGTCCAGTCCGGCGACCGTCTTGCGAACGGGCGGGCCTTGATCGTCGACGGTTACGTCGTCCGTAACGTTCAGGACGAAGCTTGAATTCACCTGCAACGTAAACAAAACTGTTCTATTATATGTTTCATATATATATCTTGCATTAATATATTTTACTTCGCTTTGATATATTTTAAAAGAAACAGATGCGTTAACAGAAACGAGAGTTTTCTAAGCTAAGCAAGACTCTCTTTACGTGAGACCCGTAAATTATAGGAACTCATATAATTATCAGTGCCCATTCGCCTGTCAATTATAATGAAACATGTCTAGTGATGCATACGCCTAGCCGTCTCCTTTGATCATCGCACGGTAATACGATACGGTGATTTACGAGTCTCTAAACCAATTAGCTTTAATCGATATCACGCACGGTTTGGTTTTACGACACGACAATTAAAGCCGCGTATATATTCTTCTGAATGTAAACTAATGATTATTTTTTTACAGTTGTCCCCCGCTCAAAGAAATCTCGGAGTTTGCTTGTTATGCTTCGCAAAACTTCGCACGATAACGCGGTAGGTCGCTGGTTGAATTTTCAGGACTCTAAATGAACGACTTCGCCGATAGACCATTAAGAGACGAGCGGTCTCATAAAGAATTAATTAACCGGAGAAAACAGAGCGGGCGAACTCTCTCGTAGACGGTTGGAAACTTGCGAAAAGGATAGGGTGGAGGTAAAACCAGTTGATCCTTACCGCTTCCTGTCGTTCGTTTATGCGGTAACACCACCTCGGCTTGCTGTAAATGATTTGCGGTGCATATACGAGCGTAACTATGATGTTTATCGGATTCTTAGGACGCGTCGGATTACCGTGGTGAGAGAGTTGTTGTTATAAACGAAGTGAGAGTTCCGATTTAAAGTCCTTGCACCAAACAACCGGGAATGTAATCCTCCGAAGATGAGAATTCTTTATAATTTCATGAATTATATCCGTCCCGATATTGTCCGCGCGCCTTCGTAACGGGAACGGGCGTTCGCAGACGACAAGAGCGTGCGATTTCACCGATTTTCTCGCGCAACGCGACCGCACGGCGCCAGGATTGATGTCGCGTTTCCTGTTGTTTCCGTGAGACGCGATTTCCACGCATCTCGTGCGCCTCTTGGACTACGTTCTCTCGCACGAGAGAACACGTGCTCTCTCTCTCTCTCTCCTTCTCTTCCTTCTCCTTCTTCGAGGGGGCCTCTGGGCCCCGTCGCGCGCAAGATCGTCCCGCGCGACGTTACACTTTGCGTTTCATGCAGTCGATCACGTATAAGCAATTTCCTTTAATGGGAAGATGGGGGATCCTCCCGTTGCTTTCTAGAGAGCGATTACATTTTTATACGCACGCGAGGCCGAGAAAAAAGAAGGAAAAGTGTTTAACCCGCGAGTCGCTGGCATCTTAATGATGGATAGTCGAGTGGGGTTCTTAATGGCGTTACAATTTATATGCCTGAACTTGAAAACAACGTTGCTCGATATGTAGGTACATCCTTTTTTTTTTTTTTTTTTCGTATATAAGAGAGGAAGAGCTGATAGCGGAGGGAACCGACGATTCCTTCGCCGGAAAATCGTTTGCATATCTTCAGAGAGCGGAGAAGCTTCTCCTCTCTGAAAAACTAGTCTCGAACGCTTCGCCAGATAGAGGCCCCGCTGCGAAGTGAGAGATTAAATTAACGTTAATAAACGCGGGGAGGCCGTATCCTCTTTGCTGGAAAATTATAAGCGATCGGTTAATATCATGTAACAACACGTGCACACACAATATCGCAGATATAAAAGAAAATTGCGATGAAATTAGCTCACTCTGTCGTAATTAATGAAGTTAATGAATCGGGAGTGCTCTGATTGTCGTCTCGTTCGTGAGATGAGCGAGAGGAGACCGACGATTATCGCGCGTGCGAGAGCAACGGATCATATAGCAATTAAGACTTTCTGGAGGAACAACAGTAAAATATTCTACTTAGTGAAAAAAAAAAAAAACGATTTGTACACACGCGTGTTACGTAATTCTGTAAAAGTATATTGTTCTTCCCTTCCTCTTGGTTGTTATGTATACGATTTTTTTGAGTGAGAAAATACGATGTGTAAAGCCAGACCGAATGAAAAACTAGAATCGTCCATCGGAGGAGTTTCAAGTAACAAAGTAGCCTTAATGGAAAACATTTTTCTACGCCACGTAGGGAAAGTTTAAAAATATGTACGCGCGATACGGCTATTAAGGATTATATCTCGTGTTAGAGCGAGATGTTCGCAAACGACGTAGAACAAGTGGAGTAAACATGTAGGAAATCGAACATAGAGAGACCTTTTCAAAACCTTTTCAAAACGGCGTTGTCGCCGGTGACGACCGACAAGCGTGGAAAGCAACAAAAGACCACGGAAGCATAAAAAAAATTATTGCATCAACTGAACAAAGTAATAGCGTGCTTATGTGTGAAAATCGCTGTTGTCAGATGCCGTGTTCAATTCAATGGCCTGTATCAGAAGTTAATAAACATGAAGCACAGTGTTTCTCAATTCGAGCTTGCTCGAAGACAAATAACTGGAACGAATACTGATGTTTTCCTAGAATTTCTTATACATTCCGGTTTATTTTTCCCGCATACGAAATTGTGATAGAAAAACAGCTGCGCTACGCAACTTTTACATACCATACATTTTTTTTTATAATTAGAAATAAAATAGAAATTCTAAATCCAAAATAGAAATTAATTTCTTTCTGTAGTAAAAATTGTTAGTTACTTTCTGTGGTAAAAAAACGCATATTTATTAAAAACAAAAAAAGTAAACAATTTAACATCTAAATTTGTATTAAACTTGCAAAAAAGTGATTTGTTTTGAAAACAAACGTCAGAGATGTAATTATTGTCTGGCAGATGAGAAATGTAGAACTTTTGCGGCGGCAATGTATTCATGAATGAGAGAAAGAGATCGTATTAATATTTATGTGGGTTGTTATTCAACGAAAAAGATATACGAAAGAGGATTCCCTCGACATTTCTTCCATTCGGCAAAACCTACCGTTCTTCCATTGACAGTCCACGTCACGTTGGCTGGCGGGTATCCCGCCGGTACCGTGCAGTTCGCACGTACAGTATCACCGACTGCATACCGCATCTTCTCGACTCGCAGCTCGGGATCGCCGTTCGGCAGACCTGAAAACCAAAGTGTCTTTTGCAGCAACAATTGAAGCGCGATTGGAAGAACGCGGGTTTTTGTCGCAGGTAACGGAGACACGTTCGCTTATTGTTACGTCCGATTCCTTTCGCCGATTAACAAAAACAGTCTTGGCACCGCGTAAACGTCGTATAATAGTTTCGATCGCGGTTCATCATTGTTCGACGCACTGTTGTTAAAAAGCGTGCCACGCGGAAATTGCGAATGACACTGTTTCTTTTTACGCTATTTTATATAACTTCGATTCCGTCAAAAAAAAATTCTCTTCAAAAGACAGAGATTTTCGACATTAAAATCTGAAATAAATTCTTTGAAGCTTCTAAAGTATAAATGTTTTACGCGCGTGAGTAATTGTTTTAATTTAGAAAATATTTTTATTCGCTAACTTTGCTTGCTAACATTTTGATATATATTTTCTTCATAAATCTATAAATTTATATAACTTTGTTTATTATTTGACGTGTATACTGACGATTGTTCATAACACACACACACACACAGAGAGAGAGAGATGGTACGATGCTAATGTGACTCTTATCCCCCCGTGAACAATGGGGCGAGGATTTCCGTTTCGTGCACGCGGCGCATCTCGGGGGAAATTGAATTGAAGGAGCGTTCGCCGGCGCGCTCGCCGTAAATTAGAAGTAACGTTTCCGCACAAAGTCCGAAGGCGCGCCTTCATAAATATAAAACGGGCTCTCGCATACTTCCATTCAAAATTGTCCCTTTTCGGACCGTGCGTGTCGAGATCAGCGCTCGGCCGCGATAAATCGGCGCGTAGCCGCGCGCCGTAACATCGCGCGGACGTTTCCGCGAACATCATCGTCATTAAGTCCTAGGTTCATATATATATATACATAAAACGTATCATGTACATCTCGGGGGATCATTATAACGTCCACAGAAGGTAGTCGATTCCTCTTCGCGGCAGGTAGTCGCGGCGAAGCTGTCACGGAATTGTCTCACTTCCTCGCGACGACTTCCGCCTCGAGGCCGCTCCTTCTTCGCGCCATCCTCTACGTGCGGTCGTGTCTCAAGGACACACACCGAAGGATATTACCATTTTCAACGTGTGCAGAAGCGGGATGGATCGCGGCCGTGAGAACTGGAGGAAAAGGAGCAAGAGGAAAGCGCGACGGGGAGGAGTGAAGGATATGGGAGAGGCGAGATTCGAAGGGCCTCGATCTAGTATCGAACTTTTACGAGCGATCGGCGCAGAGAGGAGGCAATCACCTCGTCCCTTGAAAGGAGGGAATCGCTACCGTGTGGCGTCGTTAGGTCGACGCACGACGTTGGCGGCGGCGGCGGCGGCGGCGAGACGATGAGGAACGGTGGGAACGAGACCCGGTCTTCCTCTTCTTCCTTTCCGTCGTCTCTTCCTCCCACCACGGTATATCCTTTTCTTCTCTCTCTCCCTCTCTCCTCGCCTAACTGCGTTTTAATTGGGCGCGATTACGATGACAATACTAGTCGCCGTAGAATAATCAACGATAATGAAAGGCGAGAGAGAGAGAGAGAGAGAGAGACGTGCCGTAGGTAAATGAGAAAGAGAGAGACAGAAAAGAGCGTGAAAGAAAGAGCGGTAGCGCGGTTAGAACAGTCGTGGACAAAAGAGCAGTCGAAAAAAAAAGCTTAACGGGTCACGATCGAATTCATCACCGAACTCTTTCTCTCTCTCTCGCTTGCCCGCGTATTTCCGCTTCCCCTGTCGGCCGTTAGCTGCCCTCGAAACGAGACGATGAAATGTTTTTATTGAATTTTAACAATGCGCCCCAGATGGCGCGGAATAGGTGTCGTTATACACGAACAATTTCACAAAAAAAGCGCTGTCTCGCGGCCGATTGGTCGCAGCAATTATACGCGTTGCAAACGGGAATTATACGTGACGGTATCGCCTTGCCGAAACAACACGCGCACGACTTACGACGCGAGAAGGACGTCGAGAATGACGATGACGTTGTGGCCAATAGGGGAAGGTTGTATAGCAGTAGTTATAAAATTAGCGATACCCATTTAACGCTTTGATGGCGTCAAATGGTGAAATTAGCGGCGGCTTTCACGCTTTTTCAGCGCCGACGTATCAGACGTAATGGGATGGGCGCGAGATTCAATAAGCATCGTCCGATCGACGAGTTCTGACTCGTAGACAGGTTTATTGCGCGCTGTTATCAAGGCTAATGACGCACAGGTTTTTTGTCGTCTAAGCAGATGCTAAGGAGGAGGTTGCTACCTGTTACGTTAATTTGTAATTTCCCTGTCACGTAGCGCGCTATACCGGTTCCGCCTTTATATAGGCGGAAACTTTGTATTTTATATCGCGCGCTTCGATAAGTTTAGGAAAAAAAATCACATTCCTTTCGATGGAGTTCCGCGAGTCCGATAAACGTGTGGTATAAGTCCCGGAACTTATTAATCATTATCTCGGCACGGTAAATCTTATTATAAATTTACGAGTTTAAAAATTCCGCGGATTCTCTCGATAACAAGTATTGGCTCTAAGCTTCCATAACGTGTGCGGATTTTACGGACCCAATATATAGTTGTTTTTTTTCGATAAATAAATATTCTCGCGTATATATATATAAGCGCACGCGGTGTTGTAAGACTAATACGATATTCATCAAATCCGCGTTTTTTCTTTGTTTGATTTTTTTTCAAAAGGTACGATTGCGTTCGCGCGCATATTATAAATATGCCGAAAAATTGTGGCCCGGCACTCTCAAAAGAGAGTTTCAAAGATACTGCAAAAATTGCGAAAAACGTACACACTCGATTGAGGAAAATACACTCCCGATTTAATTTGCAAATATTGTGCGACGCGAAATGAAAATTTTATATCACAAAATGCTCTCATCCATTTGCCATAAAAGTCATGAAAATGTAAAGTGAAAACATCATTCTAATTTTAGCACGCGTGTATATACGGAGCGCAAGTTTGGTGGTCAATATATTTTTTTGTGTTTCCGCTAGATTTTCGAAATATCAAGTGCGCGCAGAGTTTGCGCCGCACTCCACGAACTTCCCGTTATTGTCGCGGATATTATTCCGCTAAAATTTCGGTCTTTTATTGTTGCAATTAATCAATCCGAGTTTTTCGGTTGCGCATTTCGCGACAACGATGATTCCACGACATCGCGACATATTTGTTTTGTTTTTTTTTTTTTTTTTTTTACCAGGCGAACGTTGTTGCGCGGGAGAGAAGAGCACTCGGAGAACTCTCTTTTTGCTCGCGTATTTATTCATTTCAGAATTCATAGGGTGGCTTCAATATTTGTTTAGCTACACAAGCTCTCCGTGGCGCGCGCGTGTATCATATTATTTTCGCTCAAATGTAAACTGTGTTTCTCCTATAATACTTACTGGCTACGTGCATGTAAGCAGAGACCATTATGGTGGTAAAGTCCGGAGCGTCTCCCGAGACCTCGCAGCGATATGTGCCTGTGTGACGAGGCTGCAAGTCCTTCAGGACCAATCGATGTGTGTCGCTCCGATTTTTCTGAAACGTCATTACAAACGGCGTTTACAACAATTTGGAATACGCTGAATCACAAAATTTCATAATACGTATATTTGATACTGTTACCAGAGCGTTGTATTACGCAGTATCAACATCAAAGAAATCTGGTAATTATAATGTTTATGTTATTTGAGGTCATATTATGCAAAATGTTATAAATATACATGCTGATATACTTCACGATCGTATTAAACTGAAACGTTTCGACGAGTAATGCGCTTTACATTTTAATCCCTTCATTCGCGACGGGGTATTATTTATTACCGTTTATACATTCATTACATTAGCATTTTATTGCCATTTATTGCAATGCAATTAGATATTCATTGCCTAATTTCATCAAATATCATTAATAAAAGCACGAATAAAACTACATGACGGTATCGTGCAATAATTAGTTATAAAAACCGGTTATGCGTCTACACAGTTTGTCCGGAAAGTTCCCGGACTGATTTTTTCTAGCGCGGGTAAGCGGCGCTATCGAGCGGTCAACGCTGGAACTACTTAGTATAGA